TGGGTCGTGACACCATTAGATGTATTTCAAGCCTTTCACGTAAGGCTAAACTGATGAGATATCGAAATGTTATGACATCCATAAGGGTGAATTTGTTTCTTCATAATCGACTCTAGGTCGTTGTGAGAATCCTTGTGCGACAAGGCGAGCCTTGTATCTTTCAACTTCATTTTTGTCATTCTTTTTTCGCACAAAAACCCATTTATGACCAACTAGTTTTATACCAGCAGGTGTTTGGACTACTGGTCCAAAGACCTCTCTTTTAGCAAGTGCGTTCAATTCTGATTGAATTTCCTCTTGTCATTTTGGCCAATCAGATCTTTGTCGACATTCTTCGACAGATCGGGGTTCAAGATCTTCACTATCTTGTATAATATTAAGTGCAATATTATATGCAAAAATACTATCTACCGCTATTTCAGATCGATTTAAATTAATCCCTTTACCAATAGAACTTATTAAAAGCTTCTCACTCACTTAAGCCTCGGGTTCATTGATTTCTTCAAGAATCTCAGAACTAATCAGATCTTGGGTCTCTTCAGGAGATCCCTTCATAATATCGTTATCATTTGTCGATTTTCTTTTTCAAGGATTTCGATCCTTAGAACCCAAAGGCCTACCACGCTTCAGGCGTGCTTTAGGTTCACTAGCTCTCATGCTAGTAGATGGTCCTGCTGGGATATGAATTCGGATAGGCACATTCTCTGCAGAGATATGTGACTTAGTTATCCTATTCAAATCAGTAAATGCTTCTGGCATTTGATTTGCTATATTTTATAAATGGATGATCTTCTGGACCTCCTGATTACATATAGGGGTACGTGGATCAAAATGAGATAACGATGGAACTTTTTACACAATTTCTCTTTTGATTTTTTTTTTCTCTCCCCCTAATTGTGAGGAATTTATTTCATCAAACCGACAATCTGCAAATCGAGTAGTAAATAAATATCTCGTCAATGGTTCAGGATAGCGAATAATAGAGGGTGATTCAAACCCAATATATATTCCTAACCTTCTATGTGGGCACATCTTACTGCACTGAGGTGGTGCTACTGGCACATATACAGCACATCCAAAAATTCGTAGATGGACAATATCTGGTTCATGACAAAAAACTAATTGTGACGGAGAATATTTATTATAATGTGTCGGGCTGAGACGGATAAGTGATGTTGCATGCAAGATAGTATGACCCCAAACAGTAGTGGGCAATTGTGTTTTCATAAGTAGTGGTCTTTCTATCAATTACGGGTGTTTAATAAATGACTCTGCAAGGCCATTTTGAGTATGAACATAAGTTACAGGATGTTAAACTTTTATTCCAACTGATAGACAATAATCATCAAAAACTTGAGATGAGAATTCTCCAGCATTATCAAGGCGAATAGCCTTTATAGGATAATCTGGGAATTGTGCCCTTAATCGAATTATTTGGGCTAATAGCTTTGCAAACGCCAGGTT